AATGATCGATTTGCGAAACATAAACATCTAGTATATTAAACCTTTCCACATAAAATTAGTCTTCCATCACCATTTGGCCTCAAAGCAAGTTCTCTGTTTTTTTTTTTTGATTAGGATTCTTTCCTGCATAAACACTAGAGACCAAACCTAGTTCTAGTTACTAACTACAATTAGGACTGAATATATGCTGGCAGCAGCTGATACGTGAACGTCACACGCCTCATCTCGTCACACGCTGGCGTTTGATCTGCTACACTGCACTGCCGCTGGGGCTCACTAACACTCCACCTTCCCCTCTCCCGTCCCCGCAGCTGGTGGACCCTGGCGTCAAACCGTTCACGCCCGTCAAGGGCAAGCCGAACGTCATCATGTTCGTCGGTCTGCAAGGTTCCGGCAAGACCACCACCTGCACCAAGATGGCCTACCACTACATGAAGAAGGGCTGGCGCACCTGCCTGGTGTGCGCCGATACGTTCCGAGCTGGCGCCTACGATCAGCTGAAACAGAACGCCACCAAGGCGCGAATCCCCTTCTACGGCAGGTGAGCGGCGACTGGCGGCTTACGCGGTGACTGTACAAAGCCTGTGTCAATATGCGCCGTACGAGCCTTTCAGCAACGCGCTGCCGACTGCAGTTTCTACTTCAGGGAAAGGAAAATGAATGACAGTGCATTAAGTGATGAGGAAGTGTCATAAGATTTTCCTTGCATGCTATAGTTCTATTTCCTTATGATCCTTCGCAATTGTTTTTCGAATTTCTTTCATCTGATTATGTGTCAAATGATTGACAAATATGTCGTTTTGCATCGGTCGAAACCCTCTTGGACTGGTCCGTTCGAGTCTGATCAAGTGAATTCCGTTTGCAGTTACACCGAGGTCGACCCGGTGGTAATTGCTCAGTACGGTGTGGACAAGTTCAAGGCGGACAACTTCGAGATCATCATCGTGGACACGTCCGGTCGGCACAAGCAGGAGGACTCCCTCTTCGAGGAGATGTTGCAAGTCTCCAACGCCGTGGTGAGTCTTAAGTGGCCGCTCAGATGCCATGGTCTGTTTACTCATATACTCGCTAATTTATATTTTATTTTTAATCGTCGAGCTGTTCACTGTTCACCAAGATGACGCCGGAATGTTGCTCTTTTCACTCACTACGCAGTCTGTGTTTTTCTCAGCCAGAGCTTTTAAAGTGTAACTTGCCGACCCTTGCACATTCGAATCATCGATGGTAGCTCCAGGCTCCCCATTGCGCCTCCTCACGCGGCACTCCCGCTCATTCTGCGCAGAGTCCGGACAACGTGGTGTTTGTGATGGACGCCGCCATCGGTCAGGCTTGCGAGCCGCAGGCGCGCGCCTTCAAGGAGAAGGTGGACGTCGGCTCAGTCATCATCACAAAGCTGGACGGCCACGCCAAGGGAGGAGGCGCCCTCTCCGCGTGAGTGGACGGCGCGACGGCTGACGTGGTCTACTACTCTGCCGGCTCTGAGCCTGGTCTTACCGGTTTTTTTCAGGACTTGTCTCAAAACCTCAAAGTTGTAAGATCTAAACCTGAAAAGTAAATGCTAAAACCGCCTCACTTTGGTACGACTCTCGTCTTCTTCTTCGTAAAAGGGCTACTATATTCTCACTTTTTACATTGTTCAGCATCTAAATGACCATAGTTTTGTATGAAGATAAAATATTCCTCGCATCTAAAACATGTTTAGCTTTAAATAGTCCATACTCGAGCGACCAGCAACCATCAGACCTCGCCCTCTCTTCCCACTGAGATAAACCACGGCCGCTGCGTGTGACCGTTCCACCCTCCTCCATCAGCGTGGCGGCGACCAACTCCCCGATCATCTTCATCGGTACGGGCGAGCACATCGACGACCTGGAGCCGTTCCGCACCAAACCGTTCATCTCCAAACTGCTCGGCATGGGCGACATCGAGGGCCTAATCGAGACCGTCCAGGATCTGGGACTTGAGGACAACGAGGAGCTGATCAAGAAGCTGAAACACGGAGAGTTCACACTGCGAGACATGTACGAACAGTTCCAGAACATCATGAAGATGGGACCCTTCTCGCAGATCATGGTACGTTAAGGCTGCAGGGCTGGGGAGCGAGTGTCGCTTTTGCCGTACTGTGGGATAGAGGCTAGCTGCTGCTAGGAACAGTCTTCACTAGCTGCTGATATTTTTACGTGCAGCCGCAGTCGTTCTGTGATGTTTTTTTTACAATTGTATAGTTCGCATGATGGTTTTTTTTTTATTTAACATTTGATTAATTTTCCCGGCCTCCAGAGGCATTTCACGATGATAAAGCTTCCTGAGCTACTGTGTCTGAGATTACACCGTCGTTCTGTCATCTAATTTTCCATATATTATCGCTCTTGCCGCCGCCTAGTCAGAAGTTACCTCATCATTGCCCTATGTGCTTCCATCGGTGATGGCAGTCTGAATGTTATCTAACGACGCTGCGCTCTCTCCGGCAGGGTATGATCCCCGGTTTCGGCCAGGACTTCCTCTCCAAGGGCGGCGAACAGGAGTCGACGGCTCGCCTGAAGCGACTCATGACGCTCATGGACAGTATGAGCGACGGAGGTGGGTGCGGCGACGGGACTAGTTGTCTCGTGGAATGAAGGTTTGCTCAAGGTTCAGTCAAGTGCATGTGCTTTTGTTACCCACAGCTCTGAGCTCGTGCGTCTTGAAACGAAAGTGTTCACCGTCAGAGCTCCGTATCGAGCAAAGATAGTTTTGCAATGTTCTATTTAGCTGATCCCAACTGTGTTATGTTTCCCGATTGAGGTTAAACTGCCTGTAACCCGTCTGACCCGGCTGACCTGACCTGTGACCCGTCTGACCGGACCTGTGCCCCGCTGACCTGACCTGTGACCCGTCTGACCGTACCTGTGACCCGTCTGACCGCACTTGTAACCCGTCTGACCGGACTTGTGACCCGTCTGACCTGACCTGTGACCTGACCGCAGAGCTGGACAGCCAGCTGGGCGCCAAGCTGTTCACCAAGCAGCCGTCTCGCATCACGCGCGTGGCGAACGGGGCCGGCGTCTCGGAGCGCGAGGTGCGGGACCTCCTCAACCAGCACACCAAGTTCGCGCAGGTCGTCAAAAAGATGGGAGGCATCAAGGGACTCTTCAAGGGTGAGTTCATGCCTCGCTTTCCTATTTTCCGTTCAGGGTTGCCATGTCATTAACTTTGTGATATGAACATTATCTCCATTGGTTGGACTTGGGCCACAATTTGCGATGTAATTCTTTTCCACTGAAACCCACTGTCGGAGCCACCATCACATACGTTTAAGTGACTCTGTCCACTTCAGACTGGCGTTCGATCCACCCGTGATTGAATCGATTGGATTGAATCAAACAAAAATTTTTGAATTTAAAGGGTTTGATTCACCGTCAGGATTGTTTGATTTACAAGCCATGATTGAATCGACTGCATTTAGGAATCACGATTCACGGTTGATTGAATAAAAAAATTAACGATTCATGAACTTTGAACAATGAAAATTGATGTGGACATAGTTCATTATCAACAATGCACCTGTGTAATGCAACAATGGAGCTGTTCAGATGTAAAAAGGCATTGTGTAAAAATAATGACCAATTTGGTTTGATTTTTTTTTATTGAATCGAAAAAATAATCGTTGTGCGTGCGGCATTCTGTGCGGCATTATGATTCGGATTCTGCTGCTGGATCTGGTGTCACGTGGAGCGGCGGCGCGGACGTGTTTTCACCGTGTTCGTTAATCAGTGCTGGCAATGAAATGATGCTGGCCGGAGAACCCACTGAGAGGCACATCTACAGTTCAATAACTTTTTGGCTGAATCAAACGTGAAATGTTCCTTTTTTTATTCTTTGAATCGAAAGGAATCGATTCGACAATTTTTTGAAGGAATCAAACGGTGATTGAGTCGAAAAATGGAATGAATCAATAGTTATCTATAAATTATCATGTATAAATAATCGAATCAATACTATCAATAAAATCGATCGTCTAGATTTCTCTAAATATGTAGAAGTCTGTAAATCGATCCAAAAAAAGGTGAATCAATAACCAGTCTGACTGTCACGATATGTGTGCTGAATGATACCCCAACCCTGTCTCCGTCCCTCGTGCCGCAGGAGGCGACATGTCTCGCAACGTCAACCCCAACCAGATGGCCAAGCTGAACCAGCAGATGGCGCGCATGATGGACCCGCGCGTGCTGCAGCAGATGGGCGGCGTCAACGGTATCCAGAACATGATGCGCCAGCTGCAGCAGGGCCAGGGCACGCTCAGTCAATTCGTCGGCAAACAGTGAGCGCGGCCGGCGCGACGCTCCATTCCAGGACGGACGGAGGGCGGCGATCAGAGGTGCTGCTGCGCCGGCGGTCGGCCGCGAGGTCTCGTTCGGGGACTGCGGTCGACAGGCGGTGTTCTCGGCGGCTGGTCGATCTGTGCGGGTGGGAGGGGAGGGGGAGAGGGGTCCCCAGGCGGTGCGCCGCGATGACGAGCGGCCCGGGGCCGAGTTTTACCTGCGGTACGGGGAACTGGGCGCGTGAACGCTTGGTATTGGGTGCTGCCGACAGCGGTCTTGTTACTGTGGATGTGAAGCTCTTTATATACAAAATTGGTGTTGACGGTATTTAAATATTGTAAATACATGTGTCCATATAAGTCATTGTCTTGCCTGGCTACTGGGGCGACACGAGACCGCTACCAGGTAAGAGTCCTTTGGGTGGTAGGAAGTAAGGTGGGAGGTTCTTGGCGATTGTTGAATCATGTACGGCTGCCTGAATAATCCATTAGTCGCCTACTTACAATAGATTTGAAGTCAGGTACGGGCACATTGGGTTGAGTCACATGGTGAGTGTTGACAATACAACACGCTCCAAGCAAGGCCCTATATACCGTTCCAAGTTTGAATGGTCGCAGGAAATCCGAACTCTGTATACTGAAAGGGGAAATACTTCAAAAGTCAAGTGCTGCCAAATAAAGCTGCAGTTCTTGCTGCCATATTGTTATGGCTGTCGGGACAAATACTGCGCGGCAATAGCCGAATGGGGGCTAGCTGTACTCTGTAGGCCGCATTTTCTGGAAAAGTAAGTGTTTTTGTTACTTATTGCATTCACCCGAAATATTTTGGTATTTTCCCTGCCGATTTGTTTTGCGTATGGCTCTTATTTCGTCTCTTTTTCTGAGAACTCGCATGAGTTGACTGCGTCATGAACGCCGCAACGCCCACCAATTGGCTATTTACTGAAATTGATGCGCGTAATTTAAGCTCTGCGATGGTATAAATCATCATCCTGTAAAGATGACTTGATATAAAATTATGGACCTTAACGCACTGACCAGTAGATTAATATGGCAGCGGCCTGATTATGATTATTTAGGTGGTGAACTAGCGTAATCTGAGTGATGCCCCATCTCAAAGGTAACCTTTCTCTGACCTTTTCCACATTTTCTGAGTAAGGACCATTTTCTGATCATACACAACCAATTATAAGGTAAATTAAAACCCTTTTACTGAAATTTATCTCCATATGCCAGATGCCTTCATAGTCATAGGCCAATTGTCATGTGCTCTTTGCAAGTGAATTTCAAGAGCCTTGCTCAAATCGTGCCAGGTGCCATGATATCACCATCCATCCAAAGGGTCGAGTGCTGAAAATGACAGTTGAACGAGTATTTACTTTTTTTAGTGTGTGCATGAAATCTCTGAAACGAGCATATTTCTTACCATTTCTATTTAAATACTGGCACATGACATGTGTGCCAGTATACAAATAACAAGCATTCAAGCTCATGAAATATTTGTGTCAGAGGTTCCACACACTGCATCATTTTTATAGAAAAGGAAAAAACTAATTTTTGTGGGTGTTGTAGCCTGCAGATGCTGCTTCTCTCGCAAATAAATGTTTTCACATATATAAATATACGAGGAAACTTGTATATTTACTAGCAGCTACCATAAAAATAGCATGAAGGTTGGATAATGTTTCTTAGAGAAACGAGAAAGGTCATAGGTACATACTCTCCCTATAATTATTACAGTAAATGACTGAAAATTCTGAGAAAGAATTGAGTTTTTTTTTATAAATGAGAGCACTTTTATTTTAAAAGACATTCATCAAATTTAATCCATAATTCTGCTATAGCCAAATGATATTTATTACATACACAGAAGATAAAGAGGATGTTTTTTTTTAAAGAAATTTTGTTCAAACCGATGAATGGGTGGCTATGGGCCCGGGTGCCCCGCTAAGCAGTGCTTGTTGAGTATGACACCACGGACACACCACCCCGCCTTGCCCGCGCCCGGTTCACCGGTGAGAGTTGAGTTGAATTTTGAGTTGAGTTGAGTATGTTTTGGTATTTTATCTAGAATGTATAAGTGAAGCTTCTAAAAATATCAAATATCTAGTGTGTAGTTAACACTGGCTGATGAATTTCCAGTAACAAACTTTACCTTCGCAGGGCTGCTGAATAGTCGACAAATCATTTGGTTGAAGGTCAGTCAAACTGGTTAATTGTATTTCTCACTTTCAATCGGCAGACTATCAAGCACCTATTGTATGTGTTGTTGTCTCGCTGGGTGAAGATGAGCCTGGTGTGGCGCCGTGCGGTCTGCGCCACTGCTCGGACATGTTCAGCGATGGCTCAGCATAAGACCCTCTGCACGGCTCGGCCAGCCCTAGTCAAACAGATCGTCTGCGCCGAGGAGGGCAATGTGACCGTCATCCAGGGCCGAGTTATGCCCTCGCCGCGCGAGAATCGTGTGGTACAGACGGGTGGAAGCACATGTGCCTGTCCACTCTGCCAGCTCCACCTGGACATCAAGCACACGGACGTTCTCATCCTGAGCCAGTTTCTGCGCTCGGACGGCTGCCTGCTGCCGCGGCGCGTCTCGGGCGTGTGTCGGCTGCAGCAGCGGCGCGTTCAGCAGCTGGTGGCCATGGCCCAGAAGGCAGGGCTGATGCCCAACCTAGCGCCTAGTTCGAGCAAACGGGACCCTAGGCGCCGGTTTGGCTATAAGAAATTTAACAAGTACTACGATGAGTCGACTATCCGGGACGTTCAGCCCTTCTCCAGCGCCATGTCTGCGCGTTGACTGCCAGCTGCCGGCTCCCAGCCCTGAGGCCGCTCACGGCGCTCGCCAGCCGAGGGAGCGCGTGGCCGGCGCAGATGCAGTGGCCCCGTGTCCAAGTGTGTGCGACCTTTTGTGTCTGTGTGAATAAATTGTGATCCCTGTTTTTCTCCTGTTATAGAAGCCATGTACGGGGTATGTCAGCAAGTCAGTAACCTTTGATTTAGACATTTCCATGATTTGAGCTCTACAGTATATGTAACCTGAAAGTTACCGATATCAAAATTCTGAGGTGTTCATTTTGTTCACATTGTTGCTTTTATCAATTGCTGAAAGTTTAAAAGCGATTATTCAGTCGGTGTAGCTATTGCGAGCATTGTAACTTTCTCTGAGGTAAGGTCACTTGACGTGACCTAGGGTGACCCTATCATGAACGAGCCGGGTCTAAGATCTTATTCTTCACGTTTGCAGAAAAGACGCACAGTATCAGTTTCAGTAATATAGATGATGCGCCAGCTGCAGCAGGGCCAGGGCACGCTCAGTCCGTTTCCCAGCTGCAGCAAATTTGGTCTGGGCCGAAGCTGGTTTTACTCTGCCTAGCTCCGGCATTTACTCCGGCCAAAGTACGGGCCAGGTCTGTGGCTCTACTGGAGCTGACACACGATCTCAGAGCTCGCCCGCACCACAGCCGGACTTAAGCCGCATCAGCCGTGCCGTACCACAACCGTACTTCACTGCCACAGTAAGCCAGAGCAGCTACGACGCAGCGGGACCTGGCCGTAGGAAGCCGGACTTCAGCCGTGGCGGTGGCAGGGAGCCGGACTTGTGCCATACTTGGCAGTCCGAAACCATACCAACGCGGGAGCGCTACGGGTAAGGCTGGCTAATCGGAATAGAGCAATATCGACCCAACCCCCGGCTCTGATGGCGTTCCGTTAACACCAGCCAAACTCTGGTATGTCGGAGTTGCCGGGGCAAAACGGACCTGAGCCAAATCAAATCGCTGCCGTTGGGTTGTCGGCAAACAGTGAGGACGGAGGGTGGCGATCAGAGGTGCTGCTGCGCTGCCGGCCGTGAGGTCTATGTATGGGACGTGGTCGATCTGTGCGGGTGGGACGGGGACGGAAGGGGTCGCCGGCCGAGTGGTGCTCACTGCTCCGAGGTACCGCGGTGGCGAGCGGTCCACGGGCCGAGTTTCTTGGTGAACGCTTGGTATTGGCCGGTGTTGCCGACAGACGTCTTGTTACTGTGTATGTGAAGCTCTTTATATACAAAATTGGTGCTGACGGTATTTAAATATTGTAAATGATGTATCCATACGATCGTGATTGTCTTGGCTTCTCTGGGCGGGATGAGTACATGACAAGACGAGAGCTTTGGCCGGTGCTAGCGACTATCGAAACATTTGCACGACGGTCTAATGAGTCTGTTGGCGTAGTCCTACTTGCAAATTGCAATAATACAGGCAGGGCTGCGGAGTCGGGCTCGGTCAGAGTCGATTGACGATTGTTTTGGCTGGAGTCTGAGCTGGAGTCGTAGTCGTCGATTTTGGAAGCCGGAGTCTGAGTCAGCGACTCACAGTAGACCTGCGAGGCTGCGGAGCCGGGAGTTTGGAGTCGATAGCTCTGTCCGGAGTAAGTCTGAGTCGGAATCGATTTTGGAAGCCGGAGTCGGATTCTGAGTCACTGAAGATCCATCGACTACGCAGCCCTAGCCTGGATGCAGGCGCGCACACAGGATTTTTGAATGGGGGGGGGGGGGGGGCACGACCTTCGAACTGGGCCCCCCCCCCATGCCGAAGGGCCCCCCCCCCAAAAAAAAATACGGCCCACGGGGCTATATTTCGGTTGGTTTGAAGCTTGAGCAATTGGTTTGTCAATGCATGGTAGGTAAAACAATTATTTCGGTACCAGCTTAATTTTCAAAACATATAGGGTAAGGTGCCTAATTAGCGACCCACTTAATTTGAACCGTCATTGCTCACGCTCTGTAGGTGCCACTGTGTTACTGGCTTGATTTTCGGAGAGATCGTTCATTTTTCTATTAAAATATAGTCATTTTCTGCCCCAATATTCACTAACAGTGCACGGAAAACAGTGCACGAGAGAAGGACTACATGTGCAAAGAGCCAAAGAGAGAGAGACGATTGAAGATCAAGCATATATACCTTGAGGATTGCTGGTTTTGGTGATCTTGCTGGTTGGATTTGCTTATCCTGCATGTGATAATCAAGCATGACGCATGACGAATGAAGAGAGCCTTCCCGCCTAAGCTGCCTGCTACTGCACATCACGCCGCCAAAGCCTGCTGGGTAGTACCTACTGTCTCTGCTAGTCTGCTCCCCCGCCTCCATTTCCCAGCCCATCCCACGGCTCTGTGTGTTCTTGCCCAGTCTTTCCGGTCTTTCCACTTTTTCTTCGCCCCTGAGTGTTGCTTGCTTGTGTGGTGGCTGCTAACTGTGTCGGAATGTCGCGTGGCGTGCGCGGTGGGCGTGGCGGGCGGGGTGGTGGGCGTGGCGGGCATGGTGCTGGTGCTCCATCGCCTGCTGCGGAAATGTCCTCTGTTGCACCTGATGCTGCAGTGAGCCCTTCTGCTGTGACTGCTGCTTCGGCGGCTAGCACCCGCAGAGGACGCAGTGCTAAAGCTAAGGTCCCTGATGAGCAGTTATGCGGAACATGTGGCAAGGATGTTGAAGGTAGCTCTATTGGATGTGATGGATGCCAGGCCTGGGTTCACTGCACTGAGATGTGCTGCGGTCTCTCGTGTGATATGATACAGGCTATTGAAAAGTATGAAGGAGCTGGCATCATGTACATATGCACCAAATGTAGACTTGATTTTAGTCTCACTGCCTGGCATGGGGGCTCTCACGCGAACAGTACTGAGACTCAGCTGGTTGAACTGGTCAAACATCTGTCCCAACAGTTACATGGAATGAGCTCTGTCGTGCAGCAGTTGAAGGCGGAGATTGGCCAGATACGTGCCGGGCCTCCACCTGATCCGTCCTGGCCTAGCCTGTCTGCCTCCAATCCACCAGTGCCTGACGCTGCTGCCACTCCCGGTGCTGCCCAACGTGAAGTCCCCAGATCACCAGCTAACCCTGATGTCCCTCCCGCCTCAGCCTCATCTGAGTACAGGAAAGTTGTTCGAGAGGAGCTGCGTGAGCTGCAGGAGCAGCAAAAGCGCAGGTCTTCCCTGGTCATTCGAGGCCTGGGGGCCCGCTCAGCTAATGCTGCTGTACAGGCTTTCGAACAGGTGACTGATTTCCTGATTCACCAGAAAGTTTCTCTGACTGATGTAGTCCGAATCCCCTCGGAAACTGACCTTTACAGAGGCAAAGTCTGTGATGATGATGTCCGGAAGCTCATACTCGACAGGGCCAAGCAGCTGAAAGACTCTGACCGTTTTGGCTCCGTCTTTATTCGCAGAGATCTAACTTACAAACAGAGATCGGAGCTCCGAGCTAAGCGTGCTGCTACTGTGACTGGCACTGCCTCCAACCCTCACCATACTGCTGATTCTAGGCGCGAGAGCAGAGTACCAGAACCAGCTGTCAACACGAGTGTTCAACCAGCTCGTGTCAGGGACGGGAACCAGGACACCCAGGATGACAACCTCCCGGCCCCTGCTGCCCCGCCCTCTGATGACCACCCTAACAACTCCAACAACAATGATGTCCCTGACCCTGAGTCAAACGTGTAGCTTTGACTACCAGTTCCTACAGCCGCAGCACACTCGTCCTTAACATAAGTCAGTCTAATGTGAACTCGCTAGTCCGTAAGCTGCCGGTGGTGCAAGATTTTATACTGTGTCACAGTGTCCATATCATGTGTATAACGGAATCTCATCTCCTCAGCTCTATGCCAGATTCATTTATCGACATTCCTGGCTTCAGAGTGGTCAGAAAAGATACTGAAGGCTCTTTTGCCAAGCACGGTGTTTGTATCTATGTTAAAAATTGCTTGAAGTTTGAACAAATTGAAACTGATTGTCCTAACACTGTCGCCATTGTATTGCCAGAGTTCAGTGTACATATTGTTGCAGTCTACCGCCCCCCGTCGTCGGAGCCTGAAGCCAATCAGCATCTCTTGGATTTTCTCATTTCTTTTTGTGCAGACCGTGAAGTCGTGCTCATGGGGGACTTCAATCTCCCGTCCCTCGCGTGGGATTCCAGCAGCCCCTCATCTCGCGCGTCAGGCTGTGACACTGATTTCTATGGCACCTTCATGTCGCTTGGATTAACTCAATGGATCTGCGTCCCCACTTACCCCCGCTCTGGAAGCACACTCGATCTTGTGCTTACAACTGAAACTGACAGGATGGGTACTTCTTCGGTACTCCCGCCCCTGCCGGGCTGCGATCACTGCCCGGTGCTTTGTAACTATGTGTTTGACTATTCACCCCCAACCTCCCAATCTAGCACTCAGTTCAGGAAGTGGCACAGGGCGAAATTTGATCGCATCTCCCGCGAACTGAACGTTATTGACTGGAGCGCTGAATTTACAGGCTGCGATGTCAACCAGATGTACACCCGCTTCCTGGACAGACTGTCGCCTCTTATCGACGATTTTGTCCCTACAGGAACTTCCTCTGCTGACAACACCCGTCCTCCATGGAGGACAAACCCCCCTGGCAGCCTCAGACACCGGAGGAGACACGCATGGGAGACGTACAAAAAGATGAGACTTACCCATGGCAGGCGATCTGCAGCGGCCATATCAGCACTCGATACTTTCTTCACCCTCAATCGCTCTCTGAAAAGGTTTGCCCTGGAGTCCCAGGCGTGCTACGAACAGAAACTGCTCCAGGAGTCTGCCTCTAACCCTAAGGCTCTGCATGCACATCTCAGGCGTAAAAAGGTAGGCTGCCCTGGCGTTGGTCCCTTACGACTTTGCAATGACACGCTTTCAGATGACCCTGCTACAATGGCTGAAGCCTTTGCTGAGGCCTTTGAGAGCGTCTTCGGCCGCGGTCCCCCCAACCCTAACCAGTCCCCTCACGAAACAGCGGACTCTGTTATGCCACCCGTTGACTTCTCTGTTGACGAGGTTCTTGCAGTGCTGCGATCTCTGGACCCCCACTCAGCTGCTGGCCCAGACAACCTTCACCCATCGCTCTTACGAGCTTGTGCAAACAGCCTAGCATTTCCCTTGTTTGTTATTTTCAGACAGTCACTCAGAGAACGTCGCCTACCTGCTTCTTGGAAGATATCCGTCGTAATTCCTTTATTCAAGAAGGGCTCGAGGTATAACCCCCTGAACTATCGTCCCATCAGCTTGACCTCGGTGTCTTGCAAATGTCTAGAGCGCCTGATCTGCCAGCAGCTTACAACCTACCTGGAAGAGAACTCTATGCTGACAAATAATCAATTCGGTTTCAGAGCCGGGAGATCCACTCAGGATCAGCTGATCCTTGTATATGACGAGGTGTCTAAATGGCTTGATGATGGCTGTGTTACTGACCTCGTGATGTTTGACTTTGCCAAAGCATTTGATGTTGTCTCTCACCCTATCCTTCGCAAGCTTCGCATGATCGGCATTGCAGAGCCCCTCATCTACTGGATTGAAGATTTTCTGATTGGTCGATCTCTGTCTGTGTCAGTGAAAGGTGTACTGAGCAAAACTCGCCCCGTGTCCAGTGGGGTCCCACAGGGCTCGGTCCTTGGTCCGATTTTGTTTTTAGTTTTCATTAACCATATTGGTAGCAGTCTCGCATCTAGTCACAAGATTTTCGCTGACGATCTGAAGCTTTACATGAAAGTTGCCCACAGCTCAGCAGACGCATATGACCATGCCTCCTCGCTTTGTCAACAGGACATCACTGCCCTGCACCGTATTTCTTCGTCATGGGACCTTCGCCTGAACCGTGACAAATGTGTGGTCATACGTTTTCAGAGCAAGGCTCAATCCCAATCTCTTCCACCTCCAGTGTATGACATCGATAATTCCCCGATTCGAGTTGTCCCCTCCCATCCGGATCTCGGAGTACTGGTGGACTCGAGCCTCAAATTCCACGACCACATATCCGCTACTGTCCACAAGGCCGCAGGTCTTTCTCAAAACCTCCTGAGGAGCACGGTGTGCCGATCTCCGGACTTTATGCTGACACTTTTCCGTACTCACATAAGACCAGTTATCGAGTACTGCTCGTGTGTGTGGCACACTGGGTACCTGGGGGACCTGCGCGCTCTGGAGTCGGTCCAGCGTCGCTGGACCAAGCATATCGCTGGCCTGTCGAGTCTGGATTATCGGTCCCGGCTCTCATCGCTGAACTTGTATTCAACTCAAGGCAGACTGCTAAGGGCTGATATGATTCAGTACTGGAAGGTGTTCCATGGCAAATGTGCGGTGTCCCCCGCTGACTTGTTCACTCTACCTCCTCAGTTAGGCATGCGCGGACATTGCTTTAAGATTTTCCATTCCCGCTCGCAGACTGATGTCAGGCGTAGGTCATTCTCGGTGCGCGGTGTGAGACTATGGAACTCCCTCCCGGAGCACGTCGTAATGGAACCTAACTACAAAACCTTTAAGGGTTTGCTGGCGGAAGCCCTAGGCGACGCTCTGTATGACTTTCCCTAACCGCCTTGTTTTGTTCTCCGTCTTGCGAAATGCACTGTACCATGGACACATTTAAAGTTGCATTGACTTTGTCTTTCTCCTGCATCAATTATGTACAACATAACTACTCTTGTTTGCATCTTGAACCATGCCTGTTTTCGCGCAAACATATGTGCAGGCGCTCCACTCCGGTAGTAGCAACTGCTGGTGCGCCTTGTGTCTGCGGGTTCCTACTGTATCCCTGCCTACTCCTTCCCCTGTCTGCAGACGTGAGATTGGGAACCCCACCAGGTGAGTGAACCAGGTGAGTAACTTATTTGTAGTGAGCATTTTGGCAAACCATTGCAAAAAACGCTAATAGGGAACTCCTCCCGATTAGCGACCGGGGAGGGTCGCTAATAAGTCTATGGGTTTCCCCATATTAAAAATGGCAAAAAATGCGACGCCTGAAAAGATGAAATATGATCTCAAAAAAGGTAGCCTATACGCAAAGCACTCAATCACTCGAACAGGAACGTAGGGGAAAAAGGGTGTATTGCGCCCTCCTAACCAATTGCGCCCGCCCATATTCCCACGAATTCAATGGCATGTTAAAGGGACCATCCCACCTTAACATTAGTTTTGAGTTGAGATAGCCAAGTTTGCGGCCAGGCTCAGAAACCACCATTTATCCTGAGGGCTGTTCACGGGCCCTGTGTGCGGTTGGACCGCACACAGCCTCCAAGCCCCGCCCACTGCGTCCCTACGTCAGCCTTCCGTCACCGCACACAGCGACCGGCGACCGCTATGGCCGGTCGGAGGGGTGTTCACGGGCACCGCACACTGCTGCGTGCGGTGTGTGCGGTACGTCCAGCAGGCGTGGGGGTAGGGGATGGGTAGGCGGCTCTGACGTCACGGCTGCGTGCGGTGGACGGTCCGCTGTGGCCAGTCCCGACCGGCCACAGCGGTCGCTGTGTGCGGTGACGCAAGGCTGACGTAGGGACGCAGTGGGCGGAGCTTGGAGGCTGTGTGCGGTCCGACCGCACACAGGGTCCGTGAACAGCCCTCGGGACTGGCCACAGCGGACTGTCCACCGCACGCAGCCGTGACGTCAGAGCCGCCTACCCATCCCCTACCCCCACGCCTGCTGGACGCACCGCACACACCGCACGCAGCAGTGTGCGGTGCCCGTGAACACCCCTCTGGTCGCAACCCCCGCAGGTTTATGGTGTTCAAGAAATTTCTTCCCTTTACTTGCAGGGTGGGACCAGCTTAGTCCCTATCTCTTAACCATTAGCGGTTTTTCGATGACGTCAGCAGTCATTTCAACGCCCGCCATTCCTTGAACCCGAGTTTTGCTGACCTTGAGCTCCCTTTTTTATCAACGTGAAATCCGTCGTCGGCGCTGACATGAGAAAGCCTATTGCTTTTCATTTTAATTTGAATATTAGAAGATACCCACCACTGGAACTTGGACTGATATTATACCAAGGCCGAATATGATCAAGCTGCCTGCTATATCTGGAGCTTGGTGTTCAACTTCAACATGGAATAAAAAACAAAATATCAAAGCAAACTGGATATGGTACTGCAAGTGAAAGTCCAAAGAAATTTGAAGAGCTGACAATTGACATTAATTCTTTTCCTGTAAGGTTTCCATATGGAAATCACACCATGAAGAAATATGTTTGATGTTAACAGTTGAAAGGGGATTGATCTTCCAGTTTTGACGAAAGACGCTGCTGACTGTCTTTGGAAAAGGATGTCGGCATGAGGTGCAATTGTGCTTGTGAAGTGGTTATAACTGGTCTTTTCACAGTATTAAATTAAATGTGCCATTGCAGCCAAGTGTGTTATCATATAAGGTAAAATCAAAACTACAATGTTGGTTTTACGAGCATTGAGAAGGCTGGTAGGTAACACCTGCCTGTGCTCGTAAATCACATGCTGCCAAAGTATTCTAAATTAATTTTATCATACACTTTTGTTGTCCAGAATGGTTGCACTATTGTTTGGTATCATATTATTCCATGTAAATATGGTAGTGTAAAGTCCGACCAACATGTTACCAGATTTGAAGCTGTTACGTTACCTAAGTACCTGTTTTTTACTGGCGTGGTGAATGTCACCTGGATTTTGTTTTGAGGTGCAGACCTTGTAACTCTGACTACATGGGTTTGAAACTATTATCTATTCTGTTTTTACTGGCCTGGTGAATGGCGACTGATGTTCGTGGATGGCACTGAAACAAATTTTGAGTGTCATGTACAGTGTTTTAATACAATGCTGAGGGCTGAAAGTTGTCTTGTTTAGAGTGGTGAACGTTCAGGATATGCCAGCCACCATGGTGGGTCAGAGTTAATGTGTTGCAACTTGCAGTCAGTTCGGCTTCGGCAAGCACATGGATGGGCATACGCATCAAGACCTGCTCTGCCATACTTTCAGCCAATTTTACCTAGGTAAGTCTTTTCTTTTTTTCTGCCAAAAGCTATGACATTGTGAATTTCAGTGCTGTGGCCTGTGTGTAGCTTTCAGGAAAGCAATTCTTAATAAAGCTCTGATAAAGTGCAAAATCAGCAATGCAGCCCTCTATTACATTTTCTACAACATCTTACTTGTTCCTTGCATGGAGAGAAAAATGCAATGTTATGAATTCGTTTATTCACATAATTTGACAAGCATGCAGTTACCTGCTACTATCACTGCACAAAACAGAGCAGAAAACATAAGTTGATCAAACACAAGACACAACAGAAGTTTACAACATAGGGCTGCCGAACCTGCTTCCTCCCACCACAGTTGATGCCATTTCCTAGCCTGGCTTGATGTGAGCACTGAATAGCTGCTCTGTCTAATTACAGCTCACTACCATTCAACTTAAACTACTATCTTTAAAGTAAGAGTGAGAGCGTTCAGTGTTCATAGCAGCTCGACAGACGACAGACAACAAACATCTTGACAAACCAACCAGTATTTGATTTGGCTAATGATTTATGTGCTTGTTGTATCATGGCCAAACTACTTTAACAGCAATAATCCCTGTTTCATCTTGATCTTGCTTTTATTTCCATTTGAACTCAGATCTTGAAACAATCATCTGAAGTGATATCATCTACTGGCTTCTGTTTCTCTTGAAAGAAAGTTTAAACAACAATGATAAACTAAGGCAGGAGATGTGAGTTGTGGCAGTAGATTTTTGATTCAACATATGTCAACCTTATATTGCTTGAGACCTCTGTGACAGACAAACAAATATTTATAGTTTTTTGATAGTTTGGATTCTTGGCTTGATTTAGCAGATCAGCTGTGAACCTTGACTTTGAAATCACATAAATGTCATGGTACCCGAACGAATCCTCGCATGACATTTCTTCGTAGCACAATTTTTCGTCCGCATTTCTTCGTCTACAAATCTTCGTCGGTGCATTTATTTGTCCCTCAATGCTTACTTTTGCATATAGGTATTTGCGTTGAAGAAGAAATGCGAGCCGATTTTCATATACCCTGATGCGAGACAAAGTAATGGGATACGAATAAATGCCCTGACGAAGATTTGCAGACGAAGAATTGCGATACGAAGAAATGCCATAAGAAGATTGTCCTGGAATCCTTTATTGGCCATCATATATTGACCTTGATAAGATAAACGCATCATTCGCGCAATATTTGTCGCACTTTGATACCAAACTATTGCTTCCAAATGCCGACGTAAAGAAAACCTTTACGTGACGTCATAGAAACAGCGGAGTTCCCAAAAAGTAAACAAAAATAAAAGTCTTATATCTCGAAAACGGGTGAACATTTTCCGGTAAAATTTGGTAGATGTTCATTTTCGCTCTTTGTGATTCACGCTACATCACTTTTATGCCAGTTCATTAACTTTTTTGAAGGTGGGAGGGTCCCTTTAAGCATTTTGTTTTCGAAAACATTATTTTCACCACTGGATAGTTCCTTTTATGGCCCAAGCTCTCCGATGAAGCCAATCAGCATGGATTAGTCATTAGAGATAACTGGATGGGGCACTCCGGCGACTTTAGCGTCACACGGCCGTTATGCGCATGCGCGAGGAACATACACGACCGCGACCTTGGCGCCTGTTGTAAACTCAATGGCGGAGTGCTTTGCGGCGATCGTTATTTTGCTTTTACGTGTGATTACGTGTGTTTAAAGAAGAAGTTGGGGCGGCATATTTTATATTGAAAGGTGAGAAATGCAGTGAAGGTAAAAGTTTGGTCTCAATAGCTATAATTGATGAAATAACGCCATGCTCTGAAAACAACACCGTTTTGGCAAGAAGCATAAATCGGTGAATATCTCTTTGATACGGTAGGCTAAGTAGATGTGAGGTAGTGGGTTTTATTCAGAATCGTTCCGAGAATCGATGGCATGTAGAATTAAATGAATATTCATGTGTGGTAATAGGAGAATGGCCTTTGAACTGGTGACTACAAATATGGCGCACATTGTTCATCACAGATTACACTGCTTTTACATTGGTTTGGAATAGTTTGCCTTATTATAAGAATAATGCAAAATAAATACATTTTAAGGATACTGGAATGCATTCTTATTTAGCCCCACATTCATTTCAGACCTTAACTACAAGTTACAACACTATAATGACTTATAATGCTGCATATCAAAATAGGTATCTTCCACAGCGCAAAGTATTATATGTTGAGCTTGAAGTGTTGTCTGGATTGAACAGTTTATTTGTAAACCTTTTTTCATGAACTGACAAGATTTATAATAAATATACTATTAAAATATGGTCACAGAATTATTATCTTCCACCTACCAATAATTTTTCGTTACGAGTTTACGCTTCTTCAAGGAGTTCTTGATTGCAATCATTTTATCATAAATAGTTAATACCTTTTTTTAGGAAAAATGGAAATTTATGTCTAGTAAGAAGCTAAATTCCTCCTATAAAAATGAAATGATTAATATTTTATCAAATATACAAGGAAGTGCATTCGTATTTCTACCTATCTTGTATTCAGGAACATTTCGTTCTTATAATGCTTTCTAATAATATAACTCAATTAATATTACTATTATTTTATAAATATGCATTGAAATTGAGTTGATTCTTCATAATATCCACCTATTACATCTAATCACATCTGTACCTTTTCCACTTTCCAGTTTGACCAGCTACCAGCCATTGGTTCTGGATCAGCCTGTTTTATGAGCACTGGACTGGAAGGATGGGGACTGGGGCTGGGGCAAGATCATGATGGCAATGCTTGTGTGGTGCCTTGAGTGTTAAGCATGTATGTGTATTGGGTGTTGTATACAGTGCCTTCGTGTTAATGTTTGTAA